GAAAAGAAACAAGAAAAACGAGAAAAGAAACAAGAAAAACGAGAAAATAAACAAGAAAAGAAACAAGAAGAGAGATTACAGTATTTGCAAGAAAACCTGCAACAGTGGCAGCTCGAACAGCAAAATAAACAAGAAGAGAGATTACAACAGTTGTTGGAGTAAAAAGAAAAGAAACAAGAAGAGAGACAACAGCAGTGGCAAGAAAACCTGCAACAGTGGCAGCTCGAACAACAAAATAAACGAGAGAGATTACAGCAGTAGTTGGAGGAGAAAGAAAATAAACAAGAAGAGAAATTACAGCAGTTGTTGGAGGAGAAAGAAAATAAACAAGAAGAACGAGAAAAGAAACACGAAGAGAGACTACAGCTGTGGCAACTGGAACAAGAAAGGAAACAAGAAGTACAAATGGAAAACATTAGTAAATTTAAAAGCGAATTAGATACGTTAAAGGACGATCTATTGTCTTTTACACAAGGAGGATACATTGACCATCGACGTAATCAGCCCCAGACAATGGCAAGTCCCTTACAGAGCCCGCAGCTAAACCCTAATGCAGACATATTCAGTCCCGTTAGAAGTCACATCCCAGATATGAATGTCAGTAATAGGAGTGATCCAGTGCGAAGGAAGCCACAGGAATTCGATGGGAAGGCACCGTGGGAAGAATATAGAGTACAATTTGAGCTACTGGCAGATATGAATGGATGGACAGAGGAGCAGAAAGCAGTATATCTGGAAACGAGCTTGAAGGGACAACCACTGGAAGTACTTGGACAGTTGACAGCAGCTGACAGACACAACTATAGAGCACTGGTAGAGGCTCTGGAACTCAGGTACGGAACCCAAAATCAGTCTGAAGTCTACAGGGCTAGGTTTAGGACGAGAATCCGTGCTAAAGGGGAGAGCCTGCAAGAGCTGGCACAAGACTTGGAAAGCATGGCACACAAGGCCCACTGAACTGCACCACCCGACCTCCTCAAGTTGTTGCTGAGGGATCAGTTCGTAGATGCCTTGGACAGTCCACAACTTAAGATACAAGTGAAGCAAGCACACCCCTCTACCATGCAGGATGCAATGGCTAGAGCTCTCGAATTTGAATCTTACATTAAGTCCAGCACAGAGGTACCGAGGTTGGTACAGTCATCTGGATTCAAGGCCAGGAAAGGTCAGCTTTCAGAGAAGTTTGAGAGACTTTGCTGGCACTGTAACAAACCTGGGCACAAGAGAGCTCAATGCTGGAAACTTCAACACAGGGGAGACGATACAGCAGTAAAGGCTGCTACCAAGAAAGGGTGTTGGAACTGTGGGGAGCAAGGACATCTGAGAAGCCAGTGTAGGAGAAATATTACCAACAAGTCGGCCTCAAGGAGACCGGTAGTGAAAAATACCACCAATAAGTCACCTTCGGGAAACCAGTAGTGGTTGGTGCTAAGGGACGGCCACCAGCCTCCATCGTGAAGTCCCAACAGCTAAGTGTAAAATGGCAAACACACATAGTATCTACGTGACAGGG